TGTGGTTTAACCCTGGTGAGCAAACTAAGCATGACACAGCCACTCACCCCCTCCCCCTCCTTGAGGTGGGGGTAGAACTGAAAAGATAAAAGTGAGAAAATTGGTGGGTTGAGATAAAGACAGTTTAATAAGTTAAAGAAAAGGCAAGAAAAGAAAAACAAATCCAAGTGATAAAAAAATTAACCAAAACCCACAACAAAAAAAACAAACAGCAAACCCAAATGGTTGCTCACTGCCAGCCAACCAGTGCCCAGCCAGTCCCTGAGTAATGGCATTGCTGATAAACTTCACCCCTAGTTTTGCTGCCAAGCACAACATCACATGGTATGGAATTTCCCTTTGGTCAGCTGTCCCCACTGTCCCCTCTCCCAGCTTCTTGTGCACCCTCAGCTGACTTGCCAGCAGGGAAGCATGAGAACCAGAAAAGGCCTTGACTCTGTGAGCACTGTGCAGCAATAACTAAAATATCCTTGTGTTACCAGCACTGTTTTCATCACAAATCCAAAACAGACACAGTACAAGCTACTGTGAAGAAAATTAATTCTGTCCTGGCCAAACTACTAAAATTTCACTGGAAATCAGAAGATAGTAGCATCTGAATGTGACATAGTGTAGGGACAGGATTTAAGCACTTGCTTTGTGTTATTTCCTCTGTGACCAGAGATGCTTTGAATCAAAACAAAATTCTTCTTACTTAACGTTTCTTAACTTTGTGTTCAGAAGTACAGTTTTGGATATCACCGTGATGGAAATTGATGGTGTTTCAGAGCCCAAGACCATAACATGGAAATTAACTGTAAAAAGATAGAGACATAAATAATCACGCGTTGTTTTGTAGTCAAGTGCATTTTTTCACTCCAAAGTCTTCTTGTGCTCTCCAGTGTGAGTACAATCTCCAGGAAGCGGTTCTTGCTGTTAGTACATAGGATATAATGTTAATATATGTGATATGTGGACTCTTAAGTGTGATGCCAGCAGCACTCCCTTATTTGAGGAATAAGAAATGACTCTATTTCTGTAATATTTCCCAGACTGGAGATACCTGAAGAGAACTTTGCCCCTAATCACACCTTTAGGGAGTAAGTCATGTACTGTGCTTTTCTCTAAGGTCAGTCATCAAGGCTAAGTGCATCTGGCCTGTTTTCCAGAATGACTATCTCATTTGTCCTTAGGAGGAAGAGACAGTGGCTTTTCTTTCAGAATGAATGTCTGACAGGTAATAGAGTGCCAAACCAGAGTCTGAAAAGCTGATCTTATTTTCTTATGTATCTGACAATCTGTTAAATTGATGCAGTCATGTCCTTCTGGCAGGGACATCAGAGATTAGTTAGAATTGCAGATTTCTATCAATAATAGAAGCATTTTAAAAACAAACCAAAGAAAACCCCAGACAACCTACCAAAGCAAAATATCCTTTCTTACATTTTAATTGTTAGGATATGCATGAGGACGGAGTGCAGTCAGATGAATACCTGTAGTATCTGTGTTCTGAGCCAGATAGTCACTGGAAATTACACTTGAGCTTTTAAAAAGCAACTGTGACTTTGGGTACCTAAGATGTAGAGGCCACACTAAAGACACATTAGATGAATTCAGTTTTGAGGGCACTTTTTCATTCAGAGTCCTATTAATGTTTAAAGTTGTAGGTTTGTACTTGGAAGTTACCATCCACTTTTGAATGCATAGGTGACTGTCTCTTACTATGTGCTGCATATCTGGAGTACAAACAGCAGGTAGGTAAGTCAGTGTCACCTTGATTGAATTGTGTGCATGATGCTAGAGAGAACAGGTGATATTCTGTTGCACAGTGAATTACACTGACTTCAGTGTGCATCAGGATACAGAGTTTCAGTGCCTTATATTGAGGCCAAGTTATGAGTGGTCACAAATGGGTATGTCTGTGGTTATCAAGTCTGGCTGATTTTTCTGTCAGACTAAATGTTGACCTCATTGAACACTTGTGTTGCTTTCACTGAAGCTAACAAGATTCAGAATACTTACACTGGGAGGTAAAACCTGGTGTATAATAAGAATGCTTTACAGGCCTGGCTGCCACTGTTAGGAAAAAATATGTTTTCATGTCAGGAATTTGGCAGTGTCCAAAGTGAACGTGGGTAGAGTTGTTAATAGGCACACGTAACTGCTCTGGCGTGGATCACAGGAGTTACTCTGTCTGTCTGGGCTTGCTGTGGTGCCAAAGGAGGGCGTAGCTGCAGCTCTCCCAGGCAGTCTTCTGGCCCTGCTCCCCTGCTGGCTGCAGTTCCCCCCACACGGTGAGACCCTGCTGGGGCACGCACACTGCTGTTTCAGCACTTGCTGCTGGGATGTGTGGCACGAGCTGCAGGGAGTGGCAGTTTCTTTCCGATTAGCACCTCTGGAAGAAAAACTAAAAAATAAAAATTTGCTGTCCCCTTGGCAATTTTCATCTGTGTGTTTACTCACCCCCCAACCCCCAACAGATGCACTACCCAGGGTTTAGCCTGGCAATGTTGTGTGGAGTTCTCCTGGGAACTGCAAAGCAGAGGCAGAGTTTGACCCTGGCCGTGCCTGTGTTCATGGTAGTAAGTCCCAGTTCTGCAGCTGAGACCCTTAGCACGGTCATCTGCTTCGGAGGGTAAGCAAGGCCTTTGTGTGCCTTGAGCTGCCTTCTGGATATTTCCACTGATTGTACAGGACACTTAAGTTAACTCTGTGCATTTAACCTGGGCAATTGTCCTGAATTCTTGTGGAAGTCAACTCCCTCATTTGTGGAAAGTTTTGTTTGTTCAGCTGTAAATCCCATTTCTGCTTGGACACCCATGGAAATGGAGCTTGTTAACAGATAGCACTCTTATTATTACACTGTACAGACTTCTTTGCTTTTTCTTATACAGGAATTCCTCCTCATATTGATACACATTCTGCTTTTGAGGATGAAATAATCTCTCTCAGTTTAGGAGCTGAGGTAAACTTAATGTTTGTATGTTTTTTGGTGATGTTTTACTGAGAAGTTTGATTATTCTGTTTAATACAAGTTAATTTGCTTTTCCATGGTGTCTGTTCACACTCATCTGAGTTTAATATCAAGCATGTAAGGTAATGTGATATGCTAATTAAATAAGTAACTGCAATGAGATGTTGTCACTGGAAGGTTTGCAGGTGATGCCCTATTTTTATATCTTGGCATCCAGTTCTCCATCATCCTTCCTTCATTTTGTATTCATCTTAGAAATCATATAACTCCTATTTGTTTCTGCTTCCATTTTTCCCCGTGTCATTCTCGTTTCCTCTGGTCTAGATAAGCCTCCGATTATTTTTATATTCAGTGCATTTACAGTAGGCTAATGTAGGTGTAGTACTCAGAAGGAGATAAGAAAGTGGAATGTCTTGTACAGTTTATTCTTATACTAAATCATGGAAAGAGCTTTTTGTTCAGTTGTATGCTTGTCCTTCCGCGGTCTGAGATAGGCAGATTCTGGGAACTAAAATAAATGCTTTGGCCTTTGAAAAAGAAGTCTGTGTCAGAGCATAGGGCTAAACACAAGTGCTTTCCTAGGCTAGTGCCCTAAATATCAGCATAGGTTCTCTATGTTCTTATATCATCTTCATAGAACCACAGAGTTGGTTAGGTTGGAAGGGACCTCTTGAGGTCATCTAGTCCAGGGCTCCTGCTTGAACAGTGTCAGCTGAAGCAGTTTGTCCAAGACTGCATCCAGTTGTGTTTCAAGTATCTCTGTAGAGCTCCTTCAGAGCCTCTCTGAGCAATCTATTCCAGTGTTTGACCTCTGTCACATAAAAAACCCAAACCTGTTGTCTTGTGTTCAGGTGTAGTCATGTGGGTTTTAAACTGCGCCTGTTGTCTATTGTCCTGTTGATGGACACTACTAGGGAAAGTCTGGCTTCCTCTTCTTCACTCCCTCCCATCAGGTATTTATACACATTGATACAAGCTGTTGTACCTGAGCCTGAGAGATCTCCAAGCTGATCAATCCCAGCTCTCTCAGCAAAGATAGTCCTTGATAATCTTCATGGCTCCAAGCTGCACTTGCTTCAGTAAGTCTGTATCTTTCTTGTAGGGGGAAGCCCAGTCAAGTCCCTGCACTGGACACAGTACTGTAGATGCATCCTCACCAGTGATGGGTAGAGAGGAAGGTTCACCTCCCTTGACCTGCTGACAGTACTCTTCCTAATGTAAACCAGGAAGCTGTTGGTTTGGTTTTTTTTAAGAGTACATTGGTGGCTTCTACTCAACTTTTTGTCCACCAGGACCCCAGGGTCCTTCCTGGCAAAGCTGCTTTCTAGCTGATCACCTTCCAGCAAGTAGTGATGTATGGGGTTATACCTGACCAGGTCCAGGACCCTGCACTTCCTCTTGTGGAACTTCATGAGGTTCCTGTTGCCACCACTATTCCAGCCTGTTCAGGTCCTTCTGAATGACGGCACAACCCTCTGGTGCATCCAGCTGCTTCTCCTGGTGTTGCAGCAAATGTGAACTTGCTGAGGGTGCACTTTGCCCCCTTGGCCAGGGGTAGTTAGTGAAGCTGTTGAACAGAGTTACCCCAGTATTAACTCCCAGGGTGCTCCACTGGTGACATGTCTCCAACTGCACTTGGTGGTACTGCCATTTTCAGTGATACCTTGCAACCTCAATCACACTGTTGAGAATCAGTCTTTTCCCCAATGGCAAATGGGCACTTTGTAATGTTTTGTTAGAAGTATCATTGTAAGTCTAATTTGTTTCTGCAAACTTGATTTATGTTGGAAAAGGAATAGTTATTAGCATGTAGCATATACATTCATTTGAAATGTAAACAAACATTCTTGAGAAGAAAATAAGAGCATGATTCTTCTCAACACTGCACTTGTCCTGCACCAGATAATGTGCAACAATCCAAGTTCTTACAGTTGTATGAAATGAGGCAGAAATGTAGATGAGATTCTCTTTCCTATCTGTCACGTGGAACAGCTTTGTTAAGAGGCACAGAGAAACCAAGTGGCTCAATTTTGTTCTAGTTGTCACAATATGTTGTATTTTTGGGGAGTTTACAAGACAGATTAAACTTGATTTGAAGGAGAAAAAGCTCACTATTACTTTGTACTTCTGCCTAGCTTATAAAAAACACTGAATAGTTTGAGGGCAAAGCAGTGAGACGTAATAATGTCTTGTCCTATAACACTCCAGAAAAAGTGAGGGTTTTGGGCTAATCACTTCTCTGTTTTTGACCTGTTTCTTTGACATCTCCTGGGAAACTGCAGAAAAAAGTGAGACTTCCTAAATGTCCTGTGAGCTTCTAAGTGACATTTTATAAATTGTCATGTTTACCCTTTCATTATAGCTGCTAACAACACTGAAAATATTAATGAATATCAGTTTCAATGTTGTGTTATTGAATATAGCTTTCTTTAACTCAGGAGCTGTCATAGTAGGAGAAGAAAGGCAATGGAGTAAAATTTTGTTCAGAATGATTTTTATTAAGCTTAGTGGCAAACTATATGTCCTGTGTTTATGAATTTGAACAAAGCCTTCAAAACAGGGAACAGTTCTTTCTGTTGGGAATTTTCTGGTTTTATTTGAGTCAGGTGTTATTTTCAGTGCCTCCATTAGGTGTCTCTGAAGATATATATATAT